CTTCAGAAGATTTGGCACTGATTCAGAGAGGTTTGATGATTTGGATCGGCTGGGGAGAAGCAGGCACAGTTGGGTGGCTGCAAGTTCTCCCACAGCTCCTCTGGCTGTGCCTGCCTCTCCCTGGGAGGGGGGAGCCACAGGAGAAGTCCCCCTGGCTGCCCTGCCCGGGCCCATCCCCCAGCCTAGTCTTGGCCCTTAAAACAAACAAACAAACAAAACAACTCTGCACTCACCAGATGCAGCAGTGGTGGCTGGGGCTGCTGGGCACTCATGGCAGAGCCCCCCCATGCAGCGTGGGGCAGTGAGGATTGTCCCCTTCCGTCTGGCACCTGTGTGGCAGCTACCCAATGGTGTGGATGCAGTGTGGCTTGGCAGGGTGCTGCATGCTGTCTGGGAGCTGGGGCCACTGGGGCTGAGTGGTGCCAGGCTCTGGCTGATAGGTGGAGCAGCCCCAGCTCCCAGACAGTGCACGGCGCCCTGCTGAACCTCCCTGCACCTGCACAATGCGACAGCTGCCACTGAGTTTTATGTGGGAAGTAAATCCAGTAGAGTTTTGGTCAAGCACAAAATACATCCTCTCCCTAAAGCCTGGATATGTTTTTAGATTCCTCAGGATTTTGAGGTATGCTGGTCTCAGTAATAAGAAGTTGATAATTTGATGTAGATCTCCTATGTGACATTTGTATATGGTCAAAAATGTATATTGAAAAAATGTGTTATCATACATTTTAGGTTATGAGTAAAATAATGAACATGCTGGACACATGCAACACTAGAAAATGAGAGGTATACTCATGGTTCTTTTTTTTCCCTTCATGCAGGATGGATTGCAATGTTGGGAGCTATTTGGCTGCTAGTCTTAGCTGACATCCATGATTTTGAGATGATACTAAATAGAGTGGAATGGGCAACACTTCTTTTCTTTGCAGCCTTGTTTGTTTTAATGGAGGTAAGAAGAATAAGAAATAAATCCACTAAACGCATACCTTTGGGTTTTGTAATTGGACTGTTCGGATTTGACTCAGTTTAAGAAGACATACATTATCTTGAACAGAGAGCACCCACACAACATTGGTTGAATGCTTTTTGATAATTAAGATATAATTTAGTCACAATAGCACTAAATTAAAATTAAAGAGCTATGAGAACTCTGTAGTCAAAGTTTTGTCTCCCTTTAGCTTTTAAATCAGAGTTTAGTCTTCTTTTCTCTCAACTTCCACAAAAAGAATAGCTTTAAAATTAGCAAGGATGGTGTGTCTGAACTTACTATTATTATTATTATTATTATTTTTTTTTGTTACTGATTTTTGGAATTATTTAGACAAACAAAAAAAAATCAGGGATTAATTATAGTTTAAAAAGCTAACACTTTTGCCACATTCTAGCTACAAAATCACTTGTCTTAGAGACTGAACCTGAGGCTTGTTTGATGCTTGAAAGTTCTTGTTAAGATCTAGTATATAAGACCAAATGTTGAATCATAACAGTCCTAATGAAACAAGTTATTTAATACTTTTAGCTTATTTATTCAATCTCTGAGCAGTTTGATTCAGTCATGTTTGTGTCCCATTTTATTCACTTTCTGTAAATCTTTATGGGAACTTTTTTTTTGGCGCACATATTTGGAGAATGGATATTTTTGTATGAATAAACACATTCACTGCAAACAAGATTATTTGTGCATTTCCAAGAGGGCTCTTTGTTATTTCTTTTTATGTTTTAAAAGTTTTAGTCACCCAATAAGAGTTCAGTATCAAGACAGCAATATAGCTCAGGTGAATAGTTGCAAATGGTGGACAATAAATTGCCAAAGCAAGCAGTTTGCAAAATGCCTGGTAATATGAAATGTGTTTTTGTAATCTTTTAGTCAAAATTAATAATTTCAAGGCCACATCTGAATGTGTTAATGAACAATTCACCAACAGGAATGGGGTTAAATTTGCAGTAAATATTAGCAATTGATATTTCAGCAATATCTAATTGATTTTAAATTAGAACAGTCAGAATCTAGTAAACTCCTGGAAGTTTACTGGAGGCTTTGCTCATCAATAGGAAATTTTCTGGGTTGCTAATAAGTTTAAAAAGTTCATAAGGACTTTAATAGTTCTGATGAGTATTGTAGCACATCTAAGACTACCTACTATTTCATGCACAACTTCTAATGCAGTGGTCACCAACCAGTTGATCTCGATTGACCAGTTGATCTTGTAGCCTCTTCAAGTTGTTCTGAGGCTGGGGGGTGCAGAGCGCATGTGTGCATGCCTGTGTGTGCCCCACCCCCAGCCCAGTAGGTCAGTTCATGGGAGAGGAAAGGGGAAGGGGGCTAGATCAAGGCCCCTGTGGCAAGGGACAGAGCACCGCAGAGGCAGGAGCAGAGGTAAAGTGAGTGGTGCCCCAGCTAGGTGGGTGGTGGTGGTGGTGGGAAGATCCAGCCCAGGAGGCTTGTCCAGGGGCATGAGGACTCCTGCACTGTGTGCACCCCAGTGAAGGCCCCGGGGGTCACATGCCCCCCCCCCCCATCTATGTGCAGCGGAGGCAGCTGTTGTTGTGGGCTGGGCTTTGCACCCTGAGCCCCACTGCAGCTGGCCTGGGAGTGGCCCGACACCAAGTGCATCCAGCCACTGGTTAGGCAGGGAATGAGGCTCAGCCCAGGGAAGGATGCATGTGGAGTCAAGCTGCTCTCGGGCTAGCTGCAGTGAAGTTCAGGGCACGAAGCCCAGCCTGGAATGGCAGCTATCTCTGGCACTCACAGATGAGGGGGCATGTGCCCTCACCAAACGCCAGGCAGTGCAGGTGGCTGCAGCAGCTGTGAGGGAGGGACTGGGGCTGGAGCAGTGGCAGGCCCTGCACAAATTGGGCAAGGGATGGAGCCACAAGCAGCTTATCTGGGGGGCACAGGCAGGGGGGAACACACCCTGGGTGGGCATGGGGCCCCAGTTCTGGATGCCAGCTGGGCTGGATGCTGCTGCGGGCTGGGGCCAGGGATGTGCTCAGGCTGGGTGGTGGCGGTACTGGGAGCAGGGCTTCGGGCAGGCTGCAAGCATCCAAAAATTTGCTGTAGACCCCCGCCCAGCACCACTGCCCAGCCTGAGCACAGAGTGGCCCAGCTCCCCCCGAGAAGAGTGTGGTGAGGTCTTCCAACCTTCCCTACCCCCTACACAGATCCCGTGGGTGGGGGGGGAAGACAGTGCCACACTCTTCACAGGGTGGTGGTGGGCTGTGCTGCGCTTGGGTCAGGCAGCGGTGGCACTGGGGGGGGGGGCTATGGCAAATTTTTGGGTGCCTGCAGCCCCCCACCATAGCCCCACTCCCAGTGCCGCTGCCGCTTAGCCTGAGCACAGCCCCAATCCCAGCCCACCATGGCAGCCAGCCTGGCTGGCGTGCAGGTCCAGGACCTCACGCCCCCCATGCCCTCCCAGGGTGCGTGCTCCCCCACGCCCTCTGGATAAGCTGCTCATGGGTCCATTCGACACCCTGGCTGTGCAGGGCCTGGTCCTGCTTTAGCCCCACTCCCTCCCTCACCGCTGTTGGGGGGTTGGGGAGATCTAGGCCCTGCTATGAGGGAGGAAATGGGGTTAGGGCCTCTATCTGCCCTGCCCCCTCTCATGGCTCTTCCCCCAACAGAGTTTACCTGCTTGGGGGCATGCCTGCACATAATTTTTTCTCCCTCTGCCTCAGTCTGCTCCCCCCCTTCCCTCCCCACAGACTTGCATGCTGGGGGTGGGTGTTGGTACACAGTAGATCTTTGGTTGCTTTTAAATGCAAAAGGTGATCTCCTACTTAAAAAGGTTGGAGACCACTATTTTAATATATATTCTGAAATATGCTAGCTGTGACTGATGATACATGCTGAAGCCATATCATTTATTCTAGCTATGGTGCTAGCACTTTATGCAAGTCACATTCACTAATGTTATTTACCATATTTGCTTGAATTTAACTGTTTCCATTTGAATATGACATGGATGTACAATCAGGTTGTAAAATATGTTGAATGTCAGTTTTTAACTTACTATTGCTATAATTCACTTATTTTTTTATGGTTTCTCTGGTAACAGCAGTCATTGGACGAACTGTTAGCTATAGCATATTTCATAAGCTATGCCAGGGATACCTTAGGAAATAAACTGTAAGATATGGAGTGCCAACTGGAACCATACCTAAAGATCTCCCTATATAAAAATTGCAACAAAAAATATTTGTCAATCATATTGAAATACTATTCCTGATCTCAATCCATGCTTTCTTAAACTATCAGAAAATAGAAGCATGTCTGAGCTAGCAGACCACAAACATTAAGATTCTTGTATTTCCTTTTTTAGCTTAGCTTTTACTATGCTGGCTATAATTCCAAGAAACAAACCAAATCCAAACAGTTTCTTCAATAGCATTGCCTGCTGAGGCAAACCAAATCTTACTATACGTTGGTGGGGGGCAATCTTTGTGGCAAGCGTACCATAAATTGTCTTGTATCCTCTCCAAGTACCATTCCCCTGTTTTATCTGCTGCTCTGCTTTTTGCTTCCTGCCCTCTCTTCCTCTCAGCTTGTTGTCCTCTCACGGATGCGCTGTGTGCCGCACACAGAGACTGCCAGTGCCACAAGTTGGTCACCCCTGCTATACATAGCCATTGAGGACTGTTTCCTTACTTCTATCAGTTTCTATCACCTCACTTCATTGTCCTTAAACATGTTCTAGAACGGCACTAAGCACCAGGTACTTCATGGCTCTCCCTATTAATGATGACATGCTTCTCTGTGGTAATGCTTTAAATCTTTCTATGTTAGGATAAAATTTTTTTTAGCATGCCTAAGTGATTTAGGAGCCTAAGTTGCCTATTTTATAGATGAATTCTTGACAGTTTTATCTTTAGTTACTTGCCAGTCTTGACTGAGAGATCAGTCACTGTCAGAATCTTTTTTCAGCTTCTTCTGAGCCTAGTCATCTAGGTCTGATGAGCCATCCCTCAGGTAACTTGTCTCTAGGAATGTTCTTTCAGCACCCATTTGGGAGTTACCATTATTCACTATAAAATCCCCCAGTTCCATCTGTCTCTCTGTGATATAGCTCTTTATTTTATTTATCTTTGCGATACCATTTTATGCAGTTTTAGTATTCAAAAAACCTTTTTACTTTCATCCCCTCCAAAAATATTTACTTACAAAAGAAATGATAATATAGAACCCATAAACCCCAATCTTTTGTCTATGGAAGACAAATGTATGGGTATGATAAATATAGTTAAACTCTGATCCAAAAAAGATGCATCGTGTCAACAGTATAAAAGTGTACTTCAAGGATAGTTGTCAGTTTGGCACTGGTGTGGCTGAGTGTACCAATTATCAAAACAATATTCTCCTTTTATGAGATTCATGAGGCTCTTGGAGAACCCTGTGTGTGTGCTCAGACCACACGATTCTGCAAAGCACAACTACTGAAGGCTGAGACTCATGTTAATTCCTCACTTTCTTTCAATGTTTGCACCATGCTTGTCTCTCTTCTTGGGCAATAGTGAAAGGGCTTAAAAGATATGCAGTTAGTGTTTCCATAGTCTCTACTTTGATGGTATACTTGCAAACTGATGGCAACCTGAGGTCATCTTTTGACCATGTTTCCTTTCTGGACTATTGTGTCTGAATACTAAACAGGGTTCAAGTACAACTGAATAATTGTTAACAAGCTTTGTGGAGACATAATGAAAAGACAGTGTTAATAAAGTATTCCAGCTATCTTTAAATTAGTCATCTCAGGTATTGCTAACAGGGTAGTTGTGGCATCATTGATCACAGTATGAGCTGCAAAATCCACCTAAGTAGAGCACAATCTGGTGGCAAGTCCATGTAGAGCTCTGTGCTGCTATGGCTACACTGCTAGCAGTTTCTGATTTAGCTAGTTTTAAGCTAGCTTGGGAGTATCTACATAACCATCAGTGCCTGAAATGCAAATATACCCTCAGGACAAGGAGATATTAGCCAGAACATTAGTTTTATTCTCAAGGATGAGTGCCTTGCTATGACTTTCTAGTAGGAATAACACTAGAAATAGATATAAACTGAAAAACAGCATTGTTTAACCCACAATATTGCTTTAATACAAAGCTAGCAGGTAAATATCAGGTTTTGGACCTGCCTTTCTGCTTGGAATTTGAAGATTCCTTCTGGCCCAGAAAGACGAGGATAAGATGTCTGTGATCTATATTCTTTTCAGGGTAAGTTGCCGCTGACTACTCACTTGAGGCTGCCCATCTTTTGCTATGAACTTTCCAGACCTTTAAATGCAATGAAGAGGAAGCTCTGGAGTCCTCCCCTATTGCCACTCTTCAAAATCTATATTTCTGGTGTGCTGAATGCATCCAAAGCATCCTCATATCTACATTGCTAGAACTGGAGTGTGCAGAAGCTTCAAGTGTGTTGTGGGGTGAGGTTAGTTGCACCCTAATTGACATGTCAAATACAATAACGTTCCTCAAATAAAGGTGCCTTATCTGCCAAGTTTGCCAATTCCAACATGTGCCTTATATAGAATGAATACTGACATCTTTGTAATGGAAAATAAATTAAAACAAACCCAGCATGGTTACTTCAAACTGTTTTTAACCGCATGTTTTCTTACCTTCCATTAGCTGATCTAAATCTATCTCTTTTAGGCTCTGGCTCATCTCCATTTAATAGACTACATAGGAGAGCAGACAGCTTTGTTAATAAAGGTACATCAAATTTTTTATACTTATTTAACTCCTATCATAAGGGGAAAACATAAAGCATTTAATTAAGAATAATTGGATATTGAATTCTATATTGCTTATATTCTTTTACCACATATACAAAAGGTAAATTTCACCATTGTGAATGATCTTCAGCACAAGTTGCTTCTGCCAGTAAATTAGTGGAATTTAAACAGTATGACTCTCTTCTGGACTTCCAATGAATGAATAAATTGGACAGGTAGAAATTAATATAGAAAGCAGGAGAGGGAAAATATGCAAGTGTAGCTGTACATGGTTTTTTATAGGAAAAGTAAAGGCAACTATTAGACTATTACTGCATCTGTCTGTCTACATTTGTTGAATTGATACAATTATTGTTTTAATAAATCTGTCATTTATCTCCTTTTTAGAATGCATTTTGCATTCAAATCATTACCTTAAAAAGGATGTTTTTAATGTAGTGAAGATTTTGCACAATTATGCCATTAGCAGCACAGAGAAATACTGGGCTTAGTGTGACAGCTAAAAAAAATGCTGGCTAATTTTCAGTTAGTGGAGTTGTAACTTTATCTTTCTTCATGCCAGGTGGTTCCTGAAGATCAACGTTTGGCAGTTGCTATCATTTTAGTGGTCTGGGTCTCTGCACTGGCATCATCCCTAATTGACAATATTCCATTTACTGCTACAATGGTATGTTTCTCTGGAGTAGTTACATTTTTCCTGCCATTATATGCAGGGAGTCCAACTATTTAATGACAAGTTTGCTCAGCTGTGTTACAACTGCTCCCATCTCTTCAAGGCAGTGAGCCATAATACATGAGCTTATTTGCACCATTTAGGTGTTTTGCTGGCCATTTCTATGTACAGATAATCAGATGTGCAGATGTGCCACTCACCCACTCAAGGTTCTTAGCAGCCCCTTCCTTCCTCTTCTTGCTTGGTGGGATTTCTCCTCCTCTTCCTTCTCTCTCTCTCTCTCTTTCTCTGCCATCCCCTCTCCCTTTACTTATGTCTCTGGGTGCAGGAAGGAGAAACACATGTAAGTACACAGAGAGAGGGGAGTGGAGCATGTAGCTGCTGAGCATTGAGGGGAAGGGTGCAGTCTCAAGACGGGGTATTCTTACTTCCTTCATGGACTTAAAAAGGTCCTTGGTGGCTGCTTCAGCAGCATGGTCTAGACTGTGCAGGGGACCCCGTGATCTAGGGCTGTGGGTAACTGGAGCCACTGAGCTACACTGTGGAAAGAGGATGCTACCACACCCCCTCTGGATCTTCCCTTGGCTGTATGGATTGAAGTAAGAAAACTTCTTTTTTCCCCTGAAGTAAAATTAAAACATTGTCAAGAATTGTTAAGCAGCAAAATAAACAGGATTCCTGCTTTTTTAAAAAGTTACACAGAAAATCATATTCTTCAAGAATGAATGAATGGGCCATCAAGCTTGGATTGTTAATCTTGGTTTATTGATGTGGAAGAGTAAATTGAGCCAGAAAATGTGATACATTTTCAAAGCTGCTCTTGTCTTTGATTGGTTTAAGGTATGTTGGTTTTTAAGGTCCTCTTCAGCCCTTTCTTCAGCTTTTCAACATCACCTTCACCAATAAGGATTCTGCTTTTTCTCCTTCAACACCCCAAAAAATGTCAAAGAACAGCTGAGGGGTATGTTGTCAAACAAATGAAAAGTAACATGTTAAACGTGATAAGAAAGCAATATCCTTCTCTTATGTAATATTATCTTCAATGTATCATAAAATGAGCAACTCTTTTTTCCCCCCTCCCCCTCCTCCTGTATTTTTTCACTCAAAGAATACTTTTCAGTGGGTATGTCTACATGTTCATTAATGTGCCTTTGCTACTGCGCATTAAGTTTAGTACCTCTAATATGAGGTACTACATAATGGTGCAGTATCCTGTGCTAATACTCTGTAGCAAAGGCAAATATTTTTTTGTGATGCACATTAATTCTACTGCTCATTAGCTCATTAGCATGGTTTTTACCATGATGTGCTAATGCACAGTAGAACAGTCCACTGAGCATTAAGGCATTGCGGATAGACATGCCCAGTGTAACTTTACTGCAGGCCAAATTATCCTTCCCTGGTCAGAGCAAATCAGGAATAACTCCATCAGCCTTAATGACAGTGCTGTCTTGAGTATCTCCATCAATCTACGCTTCCTATAAGGAGATTGTTAATGAGTGTGAAGAGACCACACTTTTTGGACAGTTTACATTACAAGATAATTTTTATGCAACTAAACAACCCACAGGTTAAGGAACTTATTGATTCAGTCTTGGTATAAATCTGGGCGGATTTGGTTTGTTCCTGTTCAGGTCAAACCACAAAGAATTGGAATTACACAAGAGGAAAAAAATTGATTTACAGAACCTATAAAATTTGATTCGTCAGCTAACATGACACCTCCAAAATACAAGGGACTTTGAACCCCAGCTGAAATGTGGCTGCTGGGAAGTAATTATAAGTTTCTCTTCTTCAAGCATTTAAAAGTGACTATATAGATTCCTACCCAAAAATCAATGGGTTTTTTTGGAGAGGACGTGTCACAGTTCATTACATGAAGATGGTGAGTGATAGTGAAGTAAAATTACAGAGCACACAGCAGATGAATTCATCATTCATTATATAAATTTAGACACCTACTCTGGTAACCTTCATGGAACTTGTAGCAGAGTTAGGAGGAAGCACTAGGAAGCTAGTCTGCGAGCAAAAGGGTTAGAACAATAGTTGTAACAGTAGCACCTCTGCAGATAACTCTCTTAGAGCAAGTTTGGTTTTACAGGCATAGAGTCCTTTCACTTAATTACCTAGCATGCAGTACTTGAAACATTTCCCATGCATCCTACTTGGGATTAATTGTGTTCATACACACATTCATTTGAGCTAAATTTTGTAATGGCTAGGTGCTAAAAATGGCAGGCCCCCCAAAATAAAATTGGCAAATATTGGCAGATTTTTATGTCTCTAAGGAAAGTTACAGGAGACTTTTTGGGACTGATTAGTTAAGAGATTGGAAACTTGATTATTGTATTTATTTTGGTTTTATCTACAGAACTGTAAACTTTTCATTTTGGACTGTATGTCTTGCTTCATGTTTGAAAAAAAACAAAAACAAAACAAACGCAGTGAAATTACATAGTGCTGTTTTATGTTTCATTCCGTAACATATTCCTCAAACCTTTTACTGATTTTTGAGCTGGCCAAACCCTTGCTTAAGTCCCATTCATTTTCAATGTATGCATTCATGGCATAGTTTATTCAATAGCTAGGGTATTCTTCCCTTAAAATGTTAAGCTACATGATTTTATTAGGATTTTATTCTTTGATTTAATTGACTTGTTTTATAGGCTCCATATGTTGGAGCCATCTGTTTATATTTTTTGTCTTACTACTAGAGTCTAAAAATATAGCTGCAATAAAATCTTGTTTTAGTTGAGTTTTAATACTATTTTCTCAACATACTGTAATAAACAATTTCTATTAGCCACATTGTTGGCAAGGTGGCTGGATCTCTGACAATTCATTGTTAGGAACCAGACTGATTTTGACCTGCCATTTATTGTCTTTAAAACTGTCAGGAGCTTAAGCACACTGTATTTTTCACATTGCTAATTTATATTTTAGATCTCTTTTTGCCTTCTTTTCTACCAAATATGTTTTTTTCTCTTGTTTTTAATTTCTTACATTCCAGTGCCTGGTAAGTGTTTTAGATACAAGCCCAGAAATCTGCCGAGGTAGACTGTGTTTAACAAAGGCATCAATAGTTTTGCAAGCTACTGATTCTTTTCTTCTTTAAAGGTATATTTTAAACAGTAGGTATCCATAGGTAGAGGGAGAAAAAATTATTTGTGGGGGCTGAGCATGTATGCACATGCACACACACACTAACCCCCACAACAGGTAAGTCCATGGGGGAAGGGCTGGGAGGATGGGGGACAGATTGAGGCCCCAGCAGTGAGGGATGGAGTGGGGCAGGGGCTGAGGTGAATGGGACCCTGGCCAGGCGATGGGACAATCAGAGCCCAGACAGCTTGTCCAGGGGCACTGGGGGGCTCACACCACTGTACTTACCCCAGTGGAGGCTGAGGGGACATGTGCCCCCTTGATCTGTGCATGGGGTGGAGGCAATTGCCATTGCATGCTGGGCTTTGCACCCCACTGCCTTGAGAGTTGTGCAATGACTCGCTGCTGGGCAGGCAGGAGACTCGGCACAGCCCAGCGGCAGATGGCACATGGCCTTGTGCCGCTCCTGGGGCAGCTGCAGGGGCACGCAGAGCCCAGCCCATAGCAGCAGGCACCTCCATCCCGTGTACAGATCAGGGAGACTTGGGCCTCTGCCGGGGTGTGTACAGTGGCATGAGCCCCTCCACACCCCTGGATGAACAGCCTGGGCTCTGATTGTCTCACCACCTGGCCTGGCCAGGGCCCCATTCACTCCAACCCCTGCCTCTGCCCCACTCCCTCCCTCACCATGGGGGCCTTGATCTGCACCCCTCCCCCTAGACCCTTCCCATTCATAGGATTGACTGCTACTTGCCTACTGTGCTGGGCAACCAGTGAGCCACATGCTGGGCTGTGATCCTGGCATGCATGTCCTGCCCCACCCCTGCTGCAGCTGCCCAAAGCCAAGCAGTCTTGCAGCTCTACCAGCTGCCCTGCATTTGGAGGGGGCTGAACCCCATTCGCTCTGACCTTCCACCACCTATGTAGGTACCTCTTTCATGGAAAATGCACACTTTTACCGTGTGTAAAGGATATATAAACATTCACAGAAGGTATAAAATGGTTGTAAGTACCCTTCTCCCATCACTAAAGAACATACTGTTATAAAGGATGAGAAGTGGCCAAACTGTATACTTTATGCAGCTGCACACGCAGGAAGGTATGACCTGGTTGACAGCCCTCTTGCCTAGTGCCCTAACACATATGGGCATGATCTTGTTGGATAGCTTGTTGCTGCTCCTCTTGGTTGAAGTTGGTAGTGTTTTTCATTTCCTAACACAGAGAGGAAAGAGAGATCCCATCTTTACTTAATGGAACTGGCCCAGCTGGGCCAGGAAGTTATGCTGATTTTTTTGAAAGGGTGTGTGAGCTGCTGTTGTTGCCACATTGTGTACGTGCCTGGAGTACCAAGAGGAGTTTTAGTTGAGAGGGTTGCAACACAGTCTTTCCTCAATAACCTCCTGCAGTATTTTCTAGAGAGTGACAGTTGTGAACTAACCTATGATCTATGTCTAGGTTTCAGAGGAGTGCTTCTTCCATTACAGCCTCAATTTTCCTTTTGTTTGATCATGCAGTGAGATAAAGTAGCCTATCTGGGTGCTAAAAATTTGACTGCATCCATTTTTCTTGGATGTCCAGTGAGACCAGATGTGCAGAAGAGGGGGAGCTCAGAAACATGGTGGTGGCTATATCTTCTTTTGAAGAGGAAAAGATGAAAAACATGGACACATCTACAGTATGGATTGTCTCATGACCCTTTATCTCCAACTGACCAAAAGGGAATATGCAACAGTCATTGGTGCTTACATTCCAATATGGGTGCAGACGATGAAACAAAAGAAGAGTTCTATTCTTAACTGGACCAAATCTATCATATGTCCCCAAAGAAGATGAGATAAATCTTCTTGGTGGTATCAGTGCTAGAATGGGAAGGAACCCTGAGCTGTGGAGAGGAACCCTCAGAAAGGCAAACAAAACATAAGACCCTGGGCTATAACATAACACAAGCTACATAAGGTGTGCTCATCCCCTTTACGTTACCCAGAGCAGAACTTAGTTAGGCCTCTTCCCTTCACTTACTCTAAAAGGCCTCCTTCTCCCCTGGTCACCAGCAGAGAACTGCCTGCCCTAGCTCCAGCCTGGAGTTTATATGGGCCCAGGGCCCTGCCTCTTCTGGCCAGCTGACCAGGTGCAGGTGCAGACTAATTTCCTCATTAGCTGGTTGCCATAGCAACCTGCACCTGGGCTCCTGCCTGGCTCTTTGGGCTCTTCCCAGGCAGTTCCTGCTCTTCTAGGAGCAGGGCACCTTAGTGCCCTGCACCAGCTACATCAAAGCTGAGGCCCAGAGGAAAATTCAAAAGAATATGAACAAGTGTTGGGAGGTCAAAGCCAAAGAGATTTGTAAGTTTGCTGACAGCTACAACATGGATAGTTTCTTTAGCCAGAGTTATATGTGGGCCAAGCACACAATGAAACATGCCTCTGAGCTCCAAGGATAGAATAACACTCTGTAAAGACAATGGCACTGTCAACACACAGTGAAAGGATTACTTTTAAGCCCTCCTGAACTGAAATTGTAATGTCGAAGGCAATACTATCAATGCCATTCCACAACACCCCATGCCTTGCAGATCTACTAGCTTATCAACAGGGATCCTGGTTTTCTCTGATAAAAAAATCCCCAATTTTTGGATTTAAAAAAGTAACCCAAAATCCACATTTTTTCCATGCTTAAAATGAAACGCCATTATATATATAGATCGGAGCTTATATTTACCTATCATTGTATTCCCCATAATTGAGCCACATTGTTTATATTTTCCTTTAATCCTGCTAATCAAGTTGGCAAGTGAGATAATGCAAGATCAAAATTAACATTCTAGTAGAGCTGTCAAGAAAGCAAAATTTTCTCCTCAACAAAAAAATTAAAACTGAAAAAAGAGGCAAGAAAATAAAGGTTAATTTTCTGGTATAAAGTTATTGCTGTTATACAAATGCTGTCCCTACTGTTTATAGTCTCCCTTTGTTGTGGGGAGAGGGGAGAAGAAGGGAAGACAAGTTTTTGCATAAGCTTTTCATGCAAACGCATGGTTGCCTTTTTCTCCATTGAAGGGTATCATGTGGTAGCTGAAAAATTGCAAAATATTACTGAAATCTAAATAAAATTAAATAAATATGGGAACAATACCAGTATTATGTATGTTTCACTTAAAATGCATCCTGTTCTGTAGTTATCTATCTTGCCTTGTCCTAGCTCCTCTTGTAAAAATATATACAGTTTTGGATCTAAGACTGCTATATAAGCCATTTTTTTCTAAGGCAAAAACACGAAGCATAGAGTGACACATTTCTTTCCAGCCATTTAATATTTTATGTTTCTATTTGCAGCACTTGGATTAATTACAACAGTAAATGAGGATGAGATTTTAAGTATTCGCTGTGCGTGCAAAGCTGGTGCATAACACATATAATTATATGAATTAACATAGCAAAGGATGTTAAATGTGATTTAACAGAAGAAGTGAGAAGCATTTCTTTTAAATGGAGGCTCATTTGGTAACCACTGCTTTGTAAAAAAAATGTTGAAATGGGATGTATTCAGATAATGAAAGGGCCTTATTCAAAGCCCAGCAAAGTGAAAGATTCCCATTGACTTAAATGAGATTGTAAGAGACCCTTGAGGAGCTACACTTAAAGATGAAAATGTTTGATTTCCATGGTCATGGCTACTAGTTATGAAAGTGAGGAACTCCCACATATATATATGCAAGGTACAGACATTACACATTAACCAGTATAACTGTTTGGAAACTGGTCTATACCCATAACTGAACAGAAGTTCAGTGCACATAAACTGATTTAAAAGTGTCGGAACCCAATCTAAGATAGACCTGGATCTATCCTGCTCTATCTATCCCTATCTAAGATCTATCCCTATCCTGGATCTATCCTGGATCTATCCTGCCCTATGTATCCCTATCTAAGATAGACCTGGATCAGTGCCATAACCAAGTTCCCCAGATTTTCTGGAGATGACATCTTTGCTTACAAATGTCAAGCAGAGAGTTAACTATGGCATTTATCTTTTTGGTTTGTCTTTTTTGCTTTCCTGCCTGCTTTCCCAGTGCTACAGTGTCATAGGAAGCCCTTCCTCTCAACAATGGACCTCTCCCCAATAAACCAGACTTCAGGTTGGAGCGGGCCAGCAATGGATCTAAATTGTTGAGGCTGAGGTTACCCCTCAAAGAGCCACCAACCACTTGCTCTGCATGCATTGTTGAAATCTGCATGTTGAAATTATGCCTTGCAGCTGATTTCTGGTTTGCACCTGGCACATGCCCAGCAATGTGCTGAGATCATATTTGATTTGGATTTGGCCCTAATCAGGTACAATGATGTGATTGGTTGATTTGGATCACTATCCCAATTCGATTTGGCTGAATCTGAATCTGAAGATTTGATGCTGATTCATAGAATCAGCAATTTGGACACAGACACAGCTTTAAATGTTTTTTCTATATACCTTGAGGTACCAGGCACTACTTGTGGATGCTGTGATGGTGGGGTGGATGGAGAGTCCCACAGGAGCATGGGTGGGGGGGGCTCTGAATGCTCAGCAGCAAATGCAGAAGTACTTCCAGTCCACTTCTGGGTTTGTTGGGGAGTGTGTGGGTCCCCTGCCCCCATTCTCCCCTAACTCAGCAGTTGGCCACGGGGGTACCCCGGGTGCCCCCCCCAGACCCAGGAGGCACCCCTTGCCGAGGCGGGGTGGGGCCCATGTGCTCCCCGGCAGACCTGGACATAGACCAGAAGTGCTTCTGGCCCACTTCTGGGTCTGCTGCCAATCATGCTGAGGACCCCCGGCCCTGCATTCCTGTGAACACTCCATCTGCTGCACCACTGCAATGTTGATGAGCCGCCTGCTACCTTAAGGTATGTAGAAAAAACATTTAAAGCTGTGTTTATGTCCAAATCTCCCAATCTTTCTGAACCTCTCCAAATCAATTCAGAGGGTTCCAATTCGATTTGGAGAGATAAAAGGGTATCCTGATTTGATTCAGATTTGGAGATTCAGCCACTGAATTGGGCTGAAGCTCCTCCAAATTGAATCAGGGACTGAAGCTTTGCACAGCCCTAATAGCTACTATTGTCATGTCACATGAAACACTAATAGCCTAAAGGAACCTCAGTGTACTAGACTATACCTAAGACCATGGCCAGGAAGAGTTTGTACTGCTAGATCCCAGCTCAGATGAATGCTGTGGCATTCACTCAGACAACGAGAGAGAGGCTCGCTACTAGGGAACCCCAAAAGGGTGAAAGGAGAATTCTATGCAAAGATTCTTAGAAAAAGGAAAGTATTATTGCTTAGGCTTCAGTAATTCATGGATGGTTAATGTCACTTGTCCTTCTCCCTCTGTGTTGCAGATTCCTGTGCTGCTCAACCTTAGTCAAGATCCTGAAGTTAACCTGCCTGTGAAACCGCTAATTTTTTCATTGGCTATGGGTGCATGTCTTGGAGGTAAGCTGGGAGATCTAATAGAGTACAGTAATTTTGAAATCACTGTATGTACAAAAACTCCACTGAAGAACCCAAGTGCAATAGGTGCCATGATTTTATTACAGAAAGAACACAGAGGGTCTAGCCTAGCTCCCTCTGACTTGAAAAGACATTGGATGAAGCTACCAATGAGTGTCTGTGGCATGCACTACAATAGAAATGATTTTTGATTAGTCTGCAGGCAGTATTTGAAAATTGCACATGCATATAGTATAAATGCACAGAAAAGCTGTCCAGATGGCATTTGAAAAGTTTAGATCCTATATGAGGGAAAGTAAAAGGGTGCATTTAGCTTTCAGAATAGAGACTCAGTAGTAGCTCATTTAAAGGGGCATACAGGTGTTTGTAAGATCTGTGATCTAAAGGCTTCTCCCAAAGCTCATTTAAACTACTGGGGGTCCTTCCGTTGACTTCAGTGAGCTTTGATTGCAAAAAAACTTTGCTAATCTATTTATTGCCCTCATTGGCCCTCCCAGTGAAATCTATGGGAGCTGTGTCTGAGTTCATGAGTGCTGGATAGAAGGGATGGGGGAGGGGACCATGGGGGGGACCCCTGCCAGCCCCCATTCCCTGCCTGCTCCCCCAGCCCCCTCCCAACCCCACCTACTCTCACCTGCCCCAGCTTCTGGCCCTTTAAAGAAAAGCCCGGTGCTCACTGGGTGTTGCTGGGTGGGGGGTGATCCCCAATATCCCCCACTGCCTCACACTGCATGGGGGGCTCTGTATGAGCCCTCCAACTCCCCCCCGACTCCCCCAGCCCCCGCCATGGGTGTCCCGCCCGGGTCAGCTCCAGCCCTTCAAGAAAAAAAAAAAATGGAGAAAAGCCCCAGGACTCACTGCTCTTGCATTAGCCTTGGGGCTTTAGGGGGCTCTGGCTTTAGGGGGCTCATCCAGAGTGTCGCTTAGTGTTGCTGATGAAGATATTAAACAGTGGGTACCCCACTGCTCACATCTCACCAGGTTGAGTATAACCCGTCCATTGGTTATTTGTTTAGGATGCTTCTAAAAAGACTGTATTTTTGTGCAACAAAAAGTGGTACCCAATTTGAGTTTCTGGTGACACACAGTCCTGTTGTTTTATGTATATCTATTTAGCTAAGTGACTGCTAGATCAAGTGGCCTTATTACATAGCAAGGTTCATGGTGATATAAGTTATAGATTGACTTTTAAGGGTCATTGCATGGACATTGGATTGCATGCCAATCAATAGTTATTTGTTACAGGGACATCTTTCCATACTCATCACTGTCACTTAGATCAATGATTCTCAACCTGGGTACCGCAAGCTCCTTAAAAGGGTGCCACGGCCCCCGGCCCCTATGAGAGAAAGTAAGCGCCAACTCCTCCACATGCTGGTAGCACTGCTTTTGGCTCCTCCCAGCAGGTCCCAGAGCATGGTAGGAGCAGGGGAAGGAGCTGAGCTGACAAGCACAGCCCCACCCCCTGACAGCCCCTGGGCTGAGTGCCCCAGTGCCTCTGTGCATAACAATCTATGTGGGTGAGCAGACATGGTGCCAGATTTTTTCAGCCTAGATTATTCTCCCACTCCTCCCATGCTCCTGGGAGAAGGTGGGAGGAGTCACAGGAAATGGTAGCTCCAGGCTGTGCAGCACTACACCTGGCCTACTCTCAGTGGTGCCCTGCCCACTTTGCAACATGTTGAGATCCTTAGGGTGTTGTAGGGAGGTAACACTATGAGAAAGACATTTGCCCTAAAATAGAGTGCCACCAAATTCCAAAAAGTTAAGGAGGGGTGTTCTGAGTCTACAAAAGTTTGCAGAACATTGATTTAGATAGGCTACCAAACTATTACTCTTCAACACCTTGGCTAGGGACAGAAATTACACATAAACTGCTATAAGTGATTGTAAGCTGATTCAAATCTGTAACAGAACAGTTCAGTGCACATAAAGCACTTTTTAAAATGGCCAAAACTGGTTTAAGAGAAATGTGGATGGATGTAGTATCAGACTTAATTGATTCAGGTTAAATAGGTTTATTGAATTTGTGCCCAAGATCGCCTCCTGAGTCAAGGCAACTCACAGTCCTCCAGTGTCTCTGCTGCAAATCCCTGCTAGCAGGGTGGGCAAGCTAGCCTTGGCTCAAGCTGTCTACTTCACTGGAGCAGGGTACTTTAGCACCCCCCAGCTTGTGGCCTGGGCCACTGCAGGCATGTGGCTGTATTGCGAATGTCTGTTCACTTGCTTATCAGTTTAATCTATGCAGCTTAGACTAACCTGTGAAGACTGAATCGCTTTTTCAACCTCAGGCTTTTTGACTGTCTATACTTAGCCCAAGGGTCTGAAGCATCAGCATTATTAATGTTGAAGAATCTACTTGTCAAAGTTGATATCATCTTACACCAAAACTTGATATTCCTCCCCTCATTGGATCATTTGTTTGCTTTCATCAAGATGATTATCAGGGATTTTCTAAGGAATGAGCTTGCCAGAACCCCTGGAAATTCATTGGGCATCTTAACCCCTTGATTTCTCTGAAACTCCCAGATGACATTTCTCTTTGCTTTAATTTATTGTAGCGTTGATGTATGTTGTTTTGGCTTTTGGCACAGAGATGAAATAATTCATGTATTCATGAAACAGGCAAAATCAATAAGATGTAAATAGAGCTTTGGGAATTATTTGTATGAAAGGCACTATATGAATGCAAGAAGCACTCAGAAATGTGGCTACATCCCACATAAGCAGTTAGATGAATTGGTTATTCATCGTTATTAATGAGCATAATCAAAAATGTAATCTCTCAACAGATCTATTTATCCTTTAATAATAAATGTGTAGATATTTTGACTGATGTAACTATTTTGGGAGGCTGAATAGAATATGTTGGTCAGTGGGTAGGTGGCTGAGAGACTGAAGACAGACTTTTGAGGTTCATATTTCAGAACAATCTTCTATTTCATGAAAGACAGTGAAGGGGAACTTAGAGACAGGTCAGTGACTCAGATTTAAACATCAAAAATACTCCAAAAACACTTGTTTCAAGGGTTCTAGCAGCCAAATACTTTTTATTATGACTACAGATGACCTTTCAGAAATTCATTATACAGCAAGATTTTATCTGTGCTGATACGATGTAAATACATTCCACAAGGTAGGTTAATCTTATGAGTCATAGTTATATGGATCATGGTGATATGATTAGTCTCTGGAAAAATCATGGATCCTCAAGGAATCCATTTCTAAGCAGCTGAAGGGGGAAAAGGTGATTAGAAATAGTCAACATAGACTCACTAGGGGCAAGTCATGCCTGACCATCCTGATTGCATTCTATGATGAGATGACTGGCTCTGTGGCTGTGGGGAGAGCAGTGGATCTGATGTACCTTGATTTTAGCAAGGTTTTTGATAGAGTCTCGCACAACATTCTTGCAGGCAAGCTAAGGAAGTAGGGGCTGGATGAATGGGTTGTAAAGTGGAAAGAAAACTGGTTGAAGCATTATGCTCAGAGAGTAGTAATCAATGGCTCCATGTGTAGTTGGCAGCTGGTATCAAGTGGAGTGCCACGGGTCAGTCCTGGGGCCGGTTTTGTTCATCATCAGTGACTTGGAAGATGGCATAGAGTGCACCCTCAGCAAGTTTGCAGGTGACCAAGCTGCAGGGAGTAGTAGATATGCTGGAGGGTAGGGCTAGGATTCAGAGTGACATAGATGAATTGGAGGATTGGACCAAAAGGCATCTCATGAGGTTCAACAGGGACAAGTGCAAAGTCCTGCACTTAGGATGGAACAATCCCATGCACCAGTACAGGCTGGGGGCTGACTGGTTGGGCAGCAGCTCTGCAGAAAAGGAACTGGGGGTTACAGTGGACAATAAGTTTAATATGAGCTGGCAGTGTGCCCTTGTTGCCAGGAAGGCTAATGGCATAATGGGCTACATTTGTAGGTGTGTTGCCAGTAGGTCAAGGGAAGTGATTATTTTCCTCTATTTAGTACTGGTGAGGCCATATCTGGAGTACTGTGTTCACTTTTGGACTCCCCACTACAGAAAAAGATGTGGACAAATTGGAGAGAGTCCAGCAGAGGGTGACAAAAATGGTGAGGGGACTGGGGAACATGACTGATGAGGAAAGACTGAAGGAATTGGGCTTATTTAGTCTACAGAAGAGGAGAATGAGAGGGAACTTAGTAGCAGCCTTCAATTACCTGAAGGGGGGTTTGAAAGAGGATGGAGCTAAACTATTCTCAGTGGTGGCAGATGACAGAACAAGGAGCAATGGTCTCAAGCTGCAGCAAGGAAAGTTTAGGTTACATATTAAGAAGAATTTTTCTCACTGAGAAGTTAGTAAAGCACTGGAACAGGTTACCCTGGGAGGTGGTGGAAGCTGCATCTTTGGAGGTTATCAAAACCCAGCTAGACAAAGCTTTGGCTGGGATGATCTAGTTGGGGATGGTCCTGGCTTTGAGCAGGGAGTTGGACTAGATGACATCATGAGGTCCTTTCTAAGCCTAGCTTTCTATGATTCTATGATAATTATGTCATCAACTCTGATGCACTGGGCAGAGATTGGATCACAGACCTTACCCATGCAACCAAAAAAACCAAGAGTGCAAGCTAATATATAGGAAAACTTGTCTAAACAGCAGATCTTACTAAGTATAAATATCTGGGATAGTTGCTTACTAGACTGCACAGCAGCAGGGCTTTTTGGCTTGGATAGCATCTGCAGGACCCAGGGTAAATGCTGTGGCACACTCATAAGCCAAGGTAGATGTCACTCCTTCACCCAGTTCTGTTCCTTGCTGTACCTCAGAGGCGGTCAACCTGTGACATGCATGCAACAAGTGGCACAGGCAGCCTGTGTATGTGGCAGGAAGGGGGAACACAGCACAGTAGCAGGTAGAACTGGGAATAGAAAATAGAGTGGCATGTTGGGCAGGGAGCACAGAGCACAGAGCAGAAGGCACAGCAGCAGATTGGTCAGGGCAAAGGGATCAGAGT